TTTTGTTCATATAACAACCTCAGGGGTTTTATATGTGACATTTGATCCCTTCCAAAAGTAACAACCTGTAATCAAGGTGGTACTTATAGTAGAAAGATGACTGGATTGAGTACCAAGAGCCATGAGATTTCTCATACAACTATGAGCAAATTATTCCTAACTTGTTTTTCTCAAATGAAGTTGACCCCTCATCTGCATATAAAACAAGATTGATGTGCCAGATTTGATGATGTATACAAATACACATTGAAAATTATGAAACACCATTTAAATGTAAGGTATAAAGATAATTATGCCCTTGGTAAATGAGTATATACTTCTGAATTTTGCTGGATATAGAATCATATGCTATTAGCTTTGTGCCAGTGAATTCTTGTCAAAAGAAAATAAGCATTAAAGAATTACTGATGTATAAGCTATGTTAATAATTTTGAGCAACAGGACGTCAGTAATGCAGGGAATGGGGTGATGAGATATGTCATTATTTGTGTTTTAAGAAGAGCACTTTGGGGCTGGCCCGTGGCTCACTTGGGAGAGTGCGGTGCTGATAACATCAAGGCCGTGGGTTCGGATCCTTAAAAAAAAAAAAAGCACTTTGACTATAATATGGAATTTGGCGAGCAGTGGTAGATTCAGAAAGCCATTTATGCTTTTGGAGTAGATATTGTAGCTTGGATGGGGTGGTGATGGAGTAGGAGGCGTGAAGAGAGCTGTTTAAGAAGACATAGGGATTGGTGATAGATTTACTGTTATAGGGAAGAAAGTGGTTCTTGGCTTTGTCAATAGGATAGATAGTGATGCGATTCACCAAAATAAGGAACCCTGGAGGATTCACCAGCAGATACTAATTGAAGCAATGGGTGGAATAAGATCATTTAGAGGAGAGTATATGGTGAGAAGAGAAGGAGTTTAAGAATTAGTTTTGAGTAACCCCAGTATTTAGAGATTAGGTTGAAAAGGATGAGTCAGCAGAGAAAATGTTGGAGTGACTAAAGAGATTGAAGAATAATTAAAAGAGGGTTATCCCTGGAAAGCCAAGGGAAAGTATTTTAAGGAGGAAATGATGAGAATTGGTTATAGCTGCTGAGTAGTCTAATGAGATGTGTTTGAAAAATATCTTGGATTTAACAACTTGGAGATTATTGGTGACCATAGCAAAAGTCTCTTGGGAGGAGTGTTTGGGGCAGAAACCATTATGAAATGGGTTTGGGGTAGATATGAGATGAAAAAAATAGAGATTTCTGCTGTAAATACTCAATCAAGAAATTTAGATTCTTTTTTTTTTTTTGGTAGCTGGCGGGTACGGGGATCTGAACCCATGACCTCAGTGCTCTAACTAATCGGCCAGCCCAAAAAATATAGACTCTAGAAGGAGAGGAGAGAGATTAAATCAAATAAAGGGAAAGGGATATTGATTGCTCATTATGTTTGTGAGATTAATCTATGTTACAGTGTGTAGTAATAATTCATTATTTTTCTGTGCTGACTGGTATTCCATTGTATCATATACCACTGTGTTTGTCTATTCTGTTGATGGACATTTGGGTTGTTTCCAACTTTTAGCTATCTACAAATAATGCTACTGTGAATATTCTTGTGCATGTCTCTAGGTGTAAATATGGTCACACTTCTAATGAGTATATACCTAGAGTAGAACTACTTGGTCAAAGTATATGAATATCTTCAACTTGAGTACATATTACAAACAGTACCAAACTGTTTTCTAAAGTGATTTTACTGATTTCACATTCACCAGCAGTGAATAAGCAACTTCTTTGTTGCACATACTGCCAGCAGTTGGTTTTGTCATTGTGGTTTTAATTAATGGTTCCCTGATTACAAATGATGTTGAGCCCCTTTCATATTTATTGATTATTTGAATATCCTTTTTTATAAAGTGCTTTTTCATTTCTCTTGCCTGTTTTTCTAATGACTTGCTCATCTTTTTTATATTGATTTTTAATTACGTGTTCTGGGTGAATCCTTGTGGGGTTGTATTTTTTGTAAATCTCTTCTTCTACACTGTGGCTTACGTTTTCAGGCTTTTGATAGGGGTGGCTCAGAAGTTCTTCATTTTACTATAATAAAAAATGTAGTAGAACTTGCCAGTCTTTTACACTGAGATTTTTTTGTGTGTCATGTTAAGAAGTCTTTCCCAGCAGGCCAGTTAGTTCACTTGGGAGAGTGTGGTGCTGGTAACATCAAGGTCACAGGTTTAGATCCCTGTACCAGCCAGCCACAGAAAAAAAAAGAAAAGTCTTTCCCTATACTGGGGTCATGAAAATGCTTTTTTATATTATAACTTACTTTTGTCATTTATACCTAAAATCCCCGGTACTGAATTACATAAAACGTTTTTTTAGAGGTAGGAGATACTTGAACATGTTTAAATGCTCCTCAAAGATATCAAGTAGAGAGAGAAGAATTGAATATATAGGAAAGGGCTGATTAGAAAAACAGTCCTGAGAAGGTGGGAGAGGATGGGATCCAAAGCTCAGTTGGGTTTGCTTTAGACAGAAGGAAAGATGACTGTGATAGGATGGAATGAGAGGAGGATGGCATGGATGCAGGTAGGTCTTTGGCAGCAGTGAGTTTCTAGTTTACCTGTGCAGTAGGAGATATCTGCTGAGTGAGGAGAGATTGGATGGGAGCAGGGCTTGGAGAAGGTTTAAGAAAGGCACTGAAGAAACTATGGAATAAGTTCCAGAAAATAAAGTAAATTTGTTGTGCAGTTGTTTTTTTTTTTTTCCACATCAGCAACTTTTATTATCAATCACAATTTCATAAAAAAAGGAACATAGCAAACGGGTTAGCGTTCCACCAAAAAAAAAAAAAAATCAGGTTGTGTACCTTGCTATATTATATCTGGCAGCAGGGTTCTCCCCACATCAGGCAGAGCATCTGTACTTGTCTGATGCCCCTTTGCAGATGCAGCCCCGGGCGCACTTAGTGCAGCCCAATGGGCCCCAGGAGCAGCAGCTGTTGCAGGAGGTGTATTTGCATTCTTTGCATTTACAGGAGCCAGCCCAAGTTCAGGAGCCATCTGTGGCACAGGAGCAGTTGGGGTCCATTCTGAGCCGAGGTGAAGCTGGAGATACAAGCAGGAGTTGAAGAGGCAGTTGGGTGGAGGAAAGTGTGGTTTGTTGTGCAGTTTTGAGGGTCTAGTTGAGGTTTGTGGAGATGAATTAATTTATGGTGGTGCCAGTTCTGTTCTGTTGCTTGATTTTTGTCTAGCAGTATACTTTATTGTTATAGAACATTTGAGGGTCCTTCAAAAATTTCATGGAAAGACTCATATTATCTTTTAATTCTGTTTTCTCATAAACTTTTTGAAGTACCCTTTTACTAGCATACTGGGTAGTTGGGTTCATCTAGGATTGAGATTTTGCTATTTGGGTGTCATGCAAAGATCCCACAAAAAGGGACAAGAGAATTTAGAACTTATTTTTTTTTCTGCTTTGGTTTCGGCGGCTGGCCAGTACAGGGATCTAACCCTGGACCTTGGTGTTATAAGCACCGTGCTCTAAACAACTGAGCTAAGTGGCCAGCCCAGAATTTAGATTACTGACAGAAAATTTCTGAGATAATTTATCAAATCTGGGAAAATATTGTTAGTTGGTCCTAAAAAGTAGTGGTGCAGAAGCGTCAGTGGCCTGAAGATCCTCATGAAGTCAAACAATAAATTATAATGAAAATGGTTGAGCAAACTTGCTGGAGGAGGAGGTTGTAATCTTAGAATGGAATGCTTGCAGGTTGGCTAGATAGCTCATTTGGAAGAGTATGGTACCGAAAACACTAAGGTCAATAGTTTAGATCCCTGTCGGTGGTAGGTAACAAAAAACAAAGCAAACAACAGAATGCTTGAATTAGTGATTTTTTTTTTTTTTTTTTTTTAAAAAGATGACCGGTAAGGGGATCTCAACCCTTGGCTTGGTGTTGTCAGCACCACGCTCAGCCAGTGAGCAAACCGGCCATCCCTATATAGGACCCGAACCCGTGGCCTTGGTGTTATTACCCTGCAAGATTTTTTTTTTTAAAGATGACCGATAAGGGGATCATAACCCTTGACTTGGTGTTGTCAGCACCACACTCTCCAAATGAGCTAACCGGCCATCCCTATATAGGGATCCGAACCCGTGGCCTTGGTGTTATCAGCACCGCACTCTACCGAGTGAGCCACAGGCCGGCCTGAATTAGTGATTTTTGAGGTGGAGTCTTGTTTACTATAAAATTCTTTATAGTATCAATTATATAACAGATACTTAATATTTACTGGTGTGAACTGGAAAAGTTGATTACTCAGTACATATAATTATTTTGTAATGGGCCATATACCCAGTTTCTTGAGACAAACCAGAATTTATTTCCTATATCAGGAACATATTTTTTCTTCCATTGCTAAATTTACAAATAGTATAAATTGATTATACTTCATATCTATATTTAATTTATTTTGGCATTGTTGTTTTTCATTTTTGTTTATCATTTACTGATGGTTTTGTTCCTGATGTTCATGTTTCCTGGTTTCCTCGCCCGAGGAAACCAGGATTTGACTTTTAAAACCTTATTTGTGCTGATAATTGTAGGTATAGTTGATCCTCAAACAACATAGCTTTGAACTATGTGGGTTCACATTGTAGATTTTTTTTCAATAAACACTGTAAATCTATTTTCCTTATGATTTTCTTAGTAACATTTTATCTTTTCTAGCTTTCTTTATTGTGAGAATACAGTATATAGTACATTTAACATACAAAATATGTGCTAATCAACTGTTTATGTTATTGATAAGAGTGATGGGGTGTCAAAGGCATGGGAGGGCAGTGCTTTTCCCCTTTGTTGTTCAAGGATCAACTTTACTCTGTTTAAAAAAAAACCAACTAGTTTTATAATTTCAGCTTCTTGTTCATTTTCTTTTAAATGGTATCTCCCATTTACTTCTGCTTGGCTTTCAAATTGAAAAAACAATTTAAACAATTGTTATGCTAATGGCATCAAAGAAGTGCAGTCATTTTCTTGATTGACATTGTATCTTTAAAATTCTTTTCTCTGTTACTTAATTCCAATGCAGATACATCAAGAAATTTGGAATTTCATGAAATACATAGCACTGGGAATGAACCACCATTGCTGGTTATGATTGGCTACAGTGATGGAATGCAGGTCTGGAGCATCCCTGTAAGTATGAAGGTGGTTGAATCCCTAAAACATAATACTTTCTAGCATGCTAGCTGATGTGAAATCTGGAGATACTTTTATTAATGTCTCATCTATTTATTTCACAAGCAATTACTTAGAGACTGCTATGTGTACAGGACTATACAAGGCACTGAGAATGAGGGGCAAGTGGCAAATCAAAGATGCTCTAAATGACTAGTAAAGTGAGTTAGGAATCGTGTAAATTGCATTACATGCAAGTCTCATGTTTCTTCATGGTAACCCTATTAACTAGGTATTGTTATTATTCCCATTTTACAGAAAAGTAAACTGAGGCTAACAGAAGGTTTTTCTTTTTTAAAATGAGCAATTATTAACACCATATTAATGTTTTGAATCATTTAAAACATTCATGTACAAAATTCAAGAGGTACAAAAGGGTAAAAATATTCCTCCCATTCTTGTCCTCCATTTCCCACACCTTGACACAATCTGGATTTCTAGTTTCTTATGTATTTTTACAGCTGTATTTTATGCAAATAAAAACATGTATAAATATATTTCTTCCACCCTTCATCTGTACTTTGCTGTATTTTACTTCCTAATGTGGATATTCAGACAGGTTCTTCATTGACTTTCATAGCTGCATAATACTTCTGTTCTTTGGATTTTCCCTAATTAGTTGATGAAAACCTTTTTTTTTTTTTTTTTAGTATGAAAAACAATGATGTAATGAATGAATTTGAACAAAGGATATTTTATGTCTGTGTATCTGTATAGGATAAATTCCTTCCAGTGGAATTATTGGGTTAAAGGCTAAGTGCACTTGTAATTTTGGTAAATGTTTTACATTGCAAAATATTGGCCCTACTTTGCCGATTGGGTCCTATGTGTGCCTCCTTGGGGTGACCAAAAATAAAACGTCCTAGGGCTGGTGGAATAGTTGGTTGGTCAGAGCTTGATGCTGATAACACCAATGTCCAGGGCTCAATCCCTGTATGTGCCAGCCACCCAAAAAAAAAAAAAAATTTTTTTTTAACAAAAATAAAATGTCCTAATCTTTTAGGCATGGAAATGGCACAGCTCAGTGAGGTGTAGTAAGGACTGGGTATTTTGGCTTGTTTCACTTATTTTCCATTGTTTGGCATGGCCTAGATATCATCTCTGTCCTGTAGATGGGTGGACTTCTCTTGTGGTTCTTTTGCAACTAGAGGCTCTGGGAGTATAGAATTTAAATTTGTACCTTTAATAAATGTGTCCACCCAGCTTGTTTGAAGCCCCCTAAAAATGTCTGTGTGTGTGTGTGTGTGTGTTTGAGCCAGAATTTTTTTTCCTTTTTTTTTTTTTCCCTTTCCTTTGGGTAATATGGTTACTTCTTAAAAGATTTGTAAGGAAACATTTACGGGGATACTGCAGAAAGTTTGTGAAAAAATAGAATTAAAAGGTAATAGGAATCTTTCCATGAACTTTTTGAAGTACCCCTGTATTTACCCCAGATTTAATGGAAGTCAGGATGTTCTTGAGTGCAGAATTTGGCCTTAGTGTCATGGGGTGTTTTTTTGTTTGTTTTTTTAAAGATGACTGGTAAGGGGATCTTAACCCTTGACTTGGTGTTGTCAGCACCACGCTCAGCCAGTGAGCCAACCGGCCATCCTTATATAGGATCCGAACCCGTGGCCTTGGTGTTACCAGCAGCACACTCTCCCGAGTGAGCCACAGGCCGGCCCTGTGTCACAGGATTATTAAGTAACAAATACATCGACTTTATAATTGCTTAACATTCTAAGTTAACAAATTGTTCATTCTTCGATAAATCACTTGTGATGAACTTTAGTCTCTCATTCTAATCATGTAATTATTATATTATTAAGTGTTTAGGATTTGGGGTTTAGTTTTTCTGTTTTTAACAGTTTGGCTCAACTGGCTGCTCTGAAAAGCCATCTTTGCATTGTTCTGGGGTCTGGCTCTGGACTTGCCACAACCACCTTCTCCGTCGCCGCGGACTCTGGCAGCTCTATCGCTGGAGTTCCCGATCTCTCTCTTTTTTTTCAGTCCGTTACATCGGGTCCCCGGTGTGCCTCACCATGTCAGACGCAGCCGTGGACACCAGCTCCGAGATCGCCACCAAGGACTTAAGGAGAAGAAGGAAGTTGTGAAGGAGGCGGAGAGGGGAAGAGACGCCCCAGCTAATGGGAACGCTCATGAGGAAAATGGGGAGCAGGAGGCTGACAATGAGGTAGACGAAGAAGAGGAGGAAGGTGGGGAGGAAGAGGAGGAGGAGGAAGGCGATGGTGAGGAAGAGGATGGAGATGAAGATGAGGAGGACGACGACGTTGACACCAAGAAGCAGAAGACCGATGAGGATGCCTAGACAGCAAAAAAGGAAAAGTTAAACTTAAAAAAAAGAAAGGCCTCCATGACCTATTCACCCTCCCTTTCCGCTCTTAGAACCTAAACTTGGTCACCTTCCAGTAGAGAGCGCCGCCCACCCGCCCCGCCCGGGCAGCGCCACCAGCAGACGACAGGCGCGCTCCACCACCAGCCAAACCACGGAGGGAGAAAAGAACCAAAACGTCCAAGGCCCTGCTTTTCTTCTTAAAAGTACTTTACAAAGGAAAATTTGTTTGCATTTTTAATTTACATTTTATATTTTTGTGCATAATGTTAGGGGTCAGCCACTTTTACGGATCTCGGATGACCAAACCATCCCTCGGAGCGTTCTCTGACCTACTGGGTTTTTTTCCTCCCCTGTTGCAAATTTTCTGACTTTACTTGGTGTGACCATGTTCATTATAATCTCAAAGGAGAAAAAAAAAAAAAAAACCTTGTAAAACAAAAAAGCAAAAACAACAACAAAACAATCTTATTCCGAATATTCCAGTAACGTTTTTGTGTATGTACTTAGCTGTTCTATAAGTAGTTGGTTTGTATGAAATGGTTAAAAAGGCAAAAGATAAAAGGTTTCTTTTTTTCCTTTTTTAGTCTGTGAAGTTGCTGTTTTTTTTTTTGGCCTGTTTGATGTACGTGTGAAACAATGTTGTCCAACAATAAAACTGGAATTTTACTTTATTTTATTTTATTTTTATTTATTTATTTTTTGTCTTTTTCCGTGTCCGGCAACGGATCGCAACCCTCAGTGTCGCCCCCGTACCGGACCGGGACCGGCAACGGGATCGCAACCTTTGGTGTTGCTCCCGCACCTCGCTCAGCCAGTGAGCGGGAACCGGTCTGTATGTGGGATCCGAACCCTCGGGCGGGAGCGCCGCCGCGCTTCCCAAGCGGCGCACTATCCAGTGCGCCACCGGGCCGGCCCTGGAATTTTATTTTGCTGAGTTGTTCTAACAACAACAAAAAAGGCTTGGCTTTATCTTGAAGAGGTAGAAGAATCCTGCTGTTATGTCATGGAATTCAAAGTATTCTTTCTCTTTTGCCTTTTGGGATGTATAGTTGATACTTTTCAAGCCACCGCAATGTTCTTTGTAATTTAAGTATCATGCCAAAGCAGTTAAAGTCTGGCAATGTTTTTTTTCCCTTACCAAGAGAAATAGTTCTAGGTTGTGATCAGATGAAAGGATTTTGTAAACGTAACTTTTTCTTATTAATAGAGACTTCATTTTGCTCCATTATGCTGTTTGTTGGCAGAATTGAAGGCAAGGGGAAGGTGCAATTTTAGCAAGAAGGTTGAGCCTTGTGTGATTAGGGGTGTTGACTGGATTCCTTTGGTGGTACTCAGGATGCTTTAACTGCTCACTTGTTTTGGTTGTAATTAGACGTATGACTTCTAATATTTTTAAAGTTAACTTGTGTTTATCTCTGAATAATTTAAAGGTCTTTATTTGTCCTTAAGCCCAGATTGAGAAGCTCGAATAATCTTTTCTTGATGGAATTTCTTTTCTTTATGGAACTTCTTTTCTTTTCCTTTTTGGTGGTTGGCCACTGTGGGGATATGAACGCTTGACCTTGGTGTAACCAACACCTCTCTCTAAGTGAACTAACTAGCTAGCCCTCTTAATGGAGTTTTCTTTGACTAGTTGTGTGCTGTTGTAGTATATCCCTGTGAGTATTGTTTCAAGAATTAGGAGGCAGTCTAGCCAAATAAGCTGCTTCTTTTCCATTCATTGGGCTCTCAGTATGGTCAAAGAGGTTTATATACACTTATGCCATCTAATGTATACTGCAAGGTAGAAGTTACTCTATTTTACAGGTGGTAAGGTCACACTGCTTGTAAGAGGTGGAATTGGAATTCAAACCTAGTTCTATCTGATTTCAGATTCAAAGCCCATGACTTAAGAGTTGTATTTCACTTCCAAAATGTGATACCAAAAGATATGCCATGCAAACAGTTTGGTAGATTAGTCTTAGTTCTCATTTGTAAAAGCTTAGGATGTACTTTCAAATACTTATAATTATCTTTTATAGACTACTGTGACTGCTAGCCGATACTCTATCTAAACCCTTCTGAAATTTATCACCAGTCATTTATTCAGTAACATATGCAAGACAATGGGGAGCTTATGTTGGCCAACCTAGAAAATAAATGGCTTTAATGGACCTTTGCAGACTGTAAATCATATTTGCTTTTTTTTTTTAAAGATGACTGGTAAGGAGATCTTAACCCTTGACTTGATGTTGTCAGCAACAGGCTTTCCCAAGTGAGCTAACCGGCCATCCCTATATAGGGATCCGAACCCGTGGCCTTGGACCAGCCCTCATATTTGTTTTTGAGTTAAGTGAGGGTGGGCAAAAAGTCAACCCCTGTCCAAACCAAAATAGTTCAGTTTTTGCTTCTAATATATGTGCACAGGTCTCCCTTTTGTTGATTTTATATAAAAGCCCCACCTGTAAAAGTCTCAGATTAAGAAAGTAAACATATACTGGTTAAACATTTTAAAAATTGTCTATTTATGAACTATACTAATATGTATGGAGCTTAGATGATGTCTATGAATATAATTAGAGTTAGCTCAAAAGCAAAACTGTGCAGAAGTAGTTTCTCTATTGCCTATATCTACCACTTTGTG